TATATGTAGATGTAGGATAATCACAGGTGAAAGTGTGGCACGGTTTTTGTATTTTGTTTTTTTTTGCACAGTAATATGAGTACAAGCCCAGGCAAAAAGTATGGAATCACCACTCTTGGAAAATGTTCATTCAATTGTTTAATTGTGTAGAAAAAAACTAATCACAGACATGCCTCAAAACTATTTTCATTGAACATGCCAACCTTCTGGCTTTAAAAAACATTTAAAAAAAAAAACTGTAGTTAGTTGCAACTGTTTTTGCAGATCAAATAGAGGAAAAAAAATATGGAATCACTCAATTCTGAGGAAAATATTATGGGATCATGAAACAAAAACCCACTACAGTACACCATTAGCACTTTGTTGCACCACCTCTGTTGGCTTTTATAACAGCTTGAATTCTCTGAGGCATGGATTTAACTATCGGCAAACTGTGGTCTATATCAATCTGGCTCCAACTTTCTCTTATTGTAGATGCCAGATCAGCTTTGCAGGTTTGAGCCTTGTCCTGGACCATTTTCCTTAATTTCCACCATACATTTTCAATTGGATTGAGGTCCAGACTATTTGCAGGCCATGCCATTCACATTAGTATGTCTTTCTTGAAGGAAAGTTTACACGGTTTTTGCCCTATGGCAAGATGCATTATTATCCTGAAAAATGATGTCATCATCAGCAAACATCCTTCCAATTGATTGAATAAGAAAAGTGTGCAAAATCTCAATATAAACTTATTGCATTTATTGAAGATTTAATGACTCCTTCCTCCCGCACCTTTATTTGACATGCAAGTCCATATCATCAATGATTGTGGAAATTTGCATGTTTTCTTCAGGCAGTTGTGTTTATACATTTCATTGAAACGGCACCAAACAAAAGTTCCAGCATCATTACCCTACCCAATGCAGATTCGTGATTCATCACTGAATATATTTTTCATTCAGTCATCCACAGTCCATGATTGCTAAGATTGCTTTTCTTTAGCCCACTGTAACCTTGTTTTTTTTTCTCTTTAGGTGTTAATGATGGTTTTCATTTGGCTTTTCTGTATGGAAATCCCATTTCCTTTAGGCGATGTTTTACAGTTTGGTCACATACATTGACTCCAGTTTCTGCCCATTTGTTCCTCATTTGTTTTGTTGTGCATTTTTCTGTTTTCAAGGCATATTGTTTTAAGTTTTCTATCTTGATGCTTTGATGTCTTCCTTGGTCTACCAGTACACTTCCTTTTTACAACCTTCCCATTTGATTTGTACTTGGCCCAAATTTTAGACACAGCTGACTGGGAACAACCAACATCTTTTGCAACATTCCATGATGATTTACCTTCTTGAAGAAGTTTTATAATCCTCTCCTTTGTTTCAACTGACATCTCTCATGTTGGAGCCATGATCCATGTCAATCAGCTTGGTGCAACAGTTCACCAAGGTGTGCAAGCACTCTTATTTAGCTGCAGACGAATTAGCATATGTCATCTGATGCAGATGTTTGTTTTAGAAGTTGCGAAGTACATGGTGACTCAATAATATTTTCCTCAGAAATGAGTGATTCCATATTTTTTTACTCTGTTTGATCTGCAAAAACAGTTGCAATCGACTACACTTTTATTTATTTATTTATTTATTTTTTAAGTGTTTTTTAAAGCCAGAAGGTTGGAATGTTAAATGAACATAGTTTTGAGGCATGCCTGTGATTAATGTTTTTTTTCTGCACAAATAAACAATTTAATGAACATTTTCCAAGAGTGGTGATTCCATACTTTTTGCCAGGGGTTGTATGAGTAGGGTGTGAGCAGCTTTCAAATAGGCACCTCTAGGTGGAGAATCACTATTAGTTCTTTTTTTGGTTTGGTTTTCAATATCAAGATTTTTTTTTTCTTCCTTTTCTAGTGCTCGCAAGTTTTCACTGGTCTATAGTTGCAACCAACCCTTGAGTGCAGGGGTTGTCACAAATGTAAGGCTAGCTCCAGGGGCATATTTACCACAAGGTAAACAAGGCACTTGCCTAGGGTGGCATTTTTCAGGGGGGCAGCACCTCCCCCCAGAAGTAGGATGAAAGAGGGGACATGTGCTCCATGGGAAGCAGGTGGGATCTGAGATGGGCTGCTTGATGGTGTATGTAGAGCCTGACTGTCATTCCCGGGCATGTCCGGCGATGAAGAGTAGTGTCTCTCTCTCTCTATCACCGGGGGTGGGTGGGTAGTGGAAGGCTCTCCCAGGTGGGGGGCAGGCGTGTTGTTGGTCAATGTCAGACTCTCTCCATGGGAAGGGGAAGGGGGGGTGGTTGGTGTCTGTGGGGTCAGACAATATTTGTGTTGCCTAGGGCAGCACAAAATCTAAATACACCAATGGCTACCTCCAGGCAGTGTTGCTTGCTTTTAAGGAAGCAACCAGCAATTGCAAACCAATAGCAGTAATTGCAACTGGTAATTGCAGACCAGTAATTTTCTGTATGGTTGTAAGTGAGGTAGCATGCTTGTACTTATATTACATAATATTTGTAAACCAGAGATTATTTACATCTCTGTGCACACTATGCACTCAGTGCTGCATAATTATTCAGCACATCAAATGTAAATCTACTTTTCAAATTTACAATTTGACCCATACCAACCAGCCTGACACTTTATTCTTCTGTTTTTTATTAGAAAAATGAAAGGAGCAATATGCTTGTCAGCTATTGTCAGCTATTGTCAGTGTAGAGGTCTGTTTTGCCAACAGCAGCAGATGTCTGGATTCATTTTCTAACCAGCTCTAAAAATGACAGCCAAAATCTAACTGGAGCAGCACTGACACTTTTTTCCCTCTGCCTTTCAAAACAAATAATGTATCTTAAAGCAGAATCATTGAATTGTTATATATAGCAGCTTCTTGCCCAGTACAGCCAATTTCAAGTGGAAATAAACCCACTGATATGTTTCCTAAAACAGTTACATTCATGGCATGCCTCTGGTGATGCATGTCACAGCTCCCTATTGAACTTTCAAGTCGTCAAATGGCAGTTGTCATTGCTGATCTCATATGCAGCCCCATGGCAACTGCAAATATAAACACAGACTTAGGCTGGGTACACAAGTACTGAAAGTCGGCCAGTACCCCTGGGCCTTACTTGTTTAAAATGTAGCAAAAGAGGAAAGGTATAACACAGCAAACCATACACCATGAAGAGAAACCCGCCTTATTAGTATTATTTACACTCACCAGTCACTTTATTAGGTATACTTGTTCAATTGCTTGGTAACACAAATTGCTAATCAGCCAATCACATGGCAGCAACTCAGTGCATTTAGGCTTCTAGACATAGTGAAAAACAACTTGCTGAAGTTCAAACCGAGCATCATAATGGGGAAAAAAGGGGATTTAAGTGACTTTGAATGTGCCATGGTTGTTGGTGCCAGACGGGCTGATCTGAGTATTTACTAAACTGCTGATCTACTGGGATTTTAACAACCATCTCTAGGGTTTACAGAGAATGGTTTGAAAGAGAGAAAATATCCAGTGAGCAGCAGTTGTGTGGATGAAAATGCCTTGTTGATGTCAGAGCTCAGAGGAGAGTTTATGAAGAAAAATAGAAAATATCCAATGAGGGGCAGTTGTGTGGACAATAATGCCTTGTTGATGTTAGAGGTCAGAGGAGAATGGGCAGACTGGTACGAGATGACAGAAAGGCAACAATAACTCATGTCAATATGGACCAAAATCTCTGAGGAATGTTTCCAACACTTTGTTGAATTTATGTCATGAAGAATTAAGGCAGTTCTGAAGGCAAAAGGGGGTCCAACCCAGTACTACCAAGGTAATAAGTAAGCCACTGAGTGTATGCCTCCAGGCCAGGAAGAAAAAAGAGGAATCCACATAGTGTAAAACCATCCAGGCTTTATTCAACTCAAAAACGTGTTAAAACCACCCACATTAGTCAGTGTCAGAGCCAACACTCGCATTACAAGCATAAGGCATTAATTGTAATGCAAGTGTTGGTTCTGACACTGACTAATGTGAGTGGTTTTAACACGTTTTTGAGTTGAATAAAGCCTGGATGGTTTTACACTATGTGGAGTCCTATTTTTCTTCCTTCATGTCCCATTCTGACTAATGAGGAGCTAACTGTTATTTGAAGATATTTCAATCAGTTGGGGTTGCTGCTGCAGATCATTGCTCCCAGAACAAAAGCGGTTATAGCTGGTTTATAATCTTACCAGCATGGAGCTCTAGTGAGTGGATCCAAGTCATGTGGTGGTGGATTTTTTACGTTTTTATTATTCACATTAGAGGAGAAGTTTAAATAAGAATTATTGCTTAATGGACACAAATGTTTGCACTTTTTGTTTATTTAAGTTATGGACACTTTTTCACATATATATTTTTTATTGAATTTTGATCAATTTATGTGACATATTTATCTACAATATCTGGCATATTATTTATTTACGATACGTAATTCACCTGTTTGGAGATATATTTATTTGAAGAGCGCTGCTCTCTTCTTTTTTATGTCTTTGCATTTATACCCTGTTTACAGGGGTGAAATAGCTGCTCTTCTTTATATATCTCTTGCTTTATAGTTTTGTATATATAGTTTTATATATATATACCGTATTTTCCGGTGTATAAGACGACTTTTTATACTTAAAAACATACCTCAGCAATTGGGGGTCGTCTTATACACGGGGTATAGAATGTCAGAGCGCTAGATGTGCGGTAATACTGTACGGTAGCTTCGGCTACATACAGTATACCGCGCTGAGCCAATCATGGCGAGCGATGTATTCTATTAATGAATACAGAGCCTGCTCAGATTGGCTGAAGTTGTGACATCATCAGCCCACCTCTCTGACGCAGCCAATCCGAGCAGGCTCTGTATTCATTAATAGAATACATCACTTGCCATGATTGGCTCATATGACGTCCTCCCATTCTCCATGCATGCACGGCTCAGGGAGCACGCGGTGATCGGCAGTGCGCTGTGTCCCTCGGACACAGCGGATCACCAATCACGGAAAGAGCCGAAGATGTCGGCTCAGTCATGTGATCAACTGTGTCCAATCACAGCTGATCACATGTAAACAGGGAAATGCTGGTTATCGGCATTTCTCTCCTCTCGACAGAGGAGAGGAGAGCGGGTAATCAGCTTTCCGCGGAGGGGACATGTACACTGAACATCAGGGCACCGATGATCAGTGTGCCCTCCTGATCAGTGTAGCCCCAGCAGTGCCACCTGTCAGTGTCTATCAGTGCCATGTGCCAGTGCCCATCAGTGCCACATCAATGCCACATATCAGTGCCCATCTGAGCTGCCTTTCAGTGTCACCCATCAGTGCCAGTCAATGCCACCTATCAATGCCAATCAGTGCCACCTATCAGTGCTGCCAATCAGTGCCACCTATTAGTGCCAGTCAGTGCCGCCTATCAGTGCCATATATCAGTGCCATGTATCAGTGCTGCCTTTCAGTGCCCATCAGTGATGCCTGTCAATGCCCATCAGTGCCACCTATCAGTGCTGCCAATCAGTGCCACCTCTCAGTGCCAGTCAGTGCTGCCTATCAGTGTGCATCAGTGTCACCTATCAGTGCCTGTCAGTGCCGCCTATCAGCGCCAGTCAGTGCCACCTATCAGTGCCAGTCAGTGCCGCATATCAGTGCCAGTCAGTGCTGCCTATCAGTGCTGCCACTCAGTGCCACCTATTAGTGTTAGTCAATGCCGCCTGTCAGTGCCATGTATCAGTGCTGCCTTTCAGTCCCCATCAGTGATGCCTGTCAATGCCCATCAGTGCCACCTATCAGTGCCACCTTTCAGTGTGCATCCGTGCCACCTATCAGTGCCAGTCAGTGCCACCTATCAGTGCCAGTCAGTGCCGCCTAACAGTGCCAGTCAGTGCCGCCTATCAGTGCCGCCTACCAGTGCCATGTATCAGTGCTGCCTTTCAGTGCTCATCGGTGATGCCTGTCAAAATTTTAGAACAAAAACTAAGAAATTTTTTTTTAAAATTTTCAGTGGTTTTTGTTGATAAATACCACCAAAATAAAGTTCTATCTGTCACATAAAAAATGATAACAATTTCATATGGGTACGGGTTGCATGACCGCGCAATTGTCATTCAAAGTGTGACAGCGCTGAAAGATGAAAATTGTCCTGGGCAGGAAGTGAGTATAAGTGCCCTGTAGCGCACATCAGTGAAGGAGAGAAATCACTTATTTACAAAATTTTAGAACAAAAACTAAGAAAATTTGATTTTTTTTTTTTAAATTTTCAGTGGTTTTTGGTTTATTTAAGAAAAAATAAAAAACACAGAGGTGATTAAATACCACCAAAATAAAGTTCTATCTGTCAGAAAAAAAATGATAAAAATTTCATATGGGTACAAGGTTGCATGACCGCGCAATTGTCATTCAAAGTGTGACAGCGCTGAAAGATGAAAATTGGCCTGGGCAGGAAGGGGGTATAAGTGCCCTGTAGGCTTGTGGTTAAATGGTGTTGCCTCAGAAGGGGGGTAGTCTTATACGACGAGTATAGCCCAAAACCTATGTTTTAACTGGAAAATTAGGGGGTTGTCTTACACCCAGTCACCTTATACGCCAGTAAATACGATATATGTTTTTTTTTTTCTTTGGTGTGCTATTGGTCCAGGAGTGCTGTCCCCACCTGATTTTTTATCATGGTTGTTTGGGTTTGGCTACAAAGAGGGTCAAAATTTTGTGAGTGTGGTTAAAAGTAGGCATGGTCAGTATAGGTTGTCCTTGAAGTTCACTTTAAAAATCTGGTCACCTTATCATACATGAACTACTACTATAGCTTCAGCTGAAATTTGTTGCTTTGCTCAGCACTGTTATCACTATCCTGTTAATACCTGTATTCCCACTTAGAGGCTATGATGGCTTAATCATTTTTCAGTTAGTCAAGGTAACTTGGTCAGTGCCCCATGATCTGCTGACCATTGGTAGATGAATTAGGGTGGAGTTTGCTGCATGCAGACAACCTCCCCCAGCTATTTTGGGTGTGGCGATAAAGGAATCTGCTCCTTGTTCTAAAGGGTTCTGTTTTGCAATGAGATGTTTGTGAACACTTCCATTCTTATTGTCAATGGCATGCATCAGGATAGTTGTGTAGTACCCTGCCTGACAGGTGATATCCTTTTGTGTCATAGGCAGAAAGAAAGATCAAATACTGTATACACACAGTGATGAGTAGCTAAGCAAAGATGACTCAGAAAAGAGAAAGAAGAGATGTTTTGGAACTATTGAACTTGCCTAAGTTAGATGTTTTGTAGGTCCTGCAGTCAACTTGGAGCTGTGAAGCACCCTGTTCACACTTTACACAGCAGGAACTCGTGTTCATGCTTGCAATTTTGTGTGGGTAACAACATAATTCTGTATGTTGCTCATAAGGTAGCCTATTCACTTGAATGGACTGCCCTATTTGCATTTGTTGTGCCAAAGAATCTCAGGGACCAAATTTTAGCCCTGAGCCAGGTGCCAATTCTGTCCAGGATTCCTAATCGGCCATGTGTGAACAGGGCCTATAAATGGCTAATTAGTTTTAATCTGATGCCAGAAGGTTCTTCCTTCAGAGGTGCTGCAGAGCAGAGATGGCAAAAACACCTCTCTTCCCTGCTTCACACCTGGAGTTTAGTAAGTGCACTGTTTCAGTTTTCTATCTTGAACCACACCAAGTCACTGCATGCCATAAGGCATATTCTGATTGCACCCCTGAAGTTGGTCCTCTGTAGGTCTGCAAGAACTTTTATATAAATAGTTATTGTACTTTCCTGATATTGGCCAGCACATACAAAAGTTGGTGTCAGTTCTGTCGCTCTTCATTTCCACTCCATGCCCCATTACCTTTATAGGGTGTGGCTATAGAATTGTCAGGATTTTCATGTATATACATTCTGTTTAGTCAGAGCAAAAGAAGAAACCATCATTGCGATAATTCCTCTACTGAAGGCTTATGAGAAATACAGTCATAACATTTTTATAGAATAAGCAAGTGTTAGAATGTCTGTGATGTTTTTAATACTGCCTTTTTCCCCATTGGGAAGAATTCCCCTTTATTATTGTTCTGGTGATCACGAGAAAATAAGTATTAATCTCTCCAATAGAGCAATAAAAACTTGAGGAGGTTGTCTCTGTCTGCATACTCTATGAAAAAAGTACTTTTATTGATTTCTGTATTCTGTTTTCTTATTGCTAACTTTTAGATATGCGGGACTCGTTTTGTTACAAATTTAAATTTAGATGAAATTTTCTTTATTTGGAGATTTGGATGTATCTGAATTTCCAACTCCCAATAGTAAATAATACATTTTAACAAAACAGATTATTCAAATTAAATTTGAAAATTCATTTGAATTCAAAATGGAAACATATGGGAAAAAATACAGTAAGGTAAGAAAGTGAAATAAGATGATAATTCCTACTTAGGCTGCTTTATAGAACAGAATAAAAAAATAAAAGAATAGAATAAAAAAGAATAGAAAATAACAGAATAAAATAGAATAGACTAGAAAATAAAGGAATAAAATAGAATAAAACCGAATAGGACAATATAGCTGTCTTCTGAAATTTCAATGTCAAAATTAAAATTAAAATTTTGAATCGAGTTGAAAATAACGAATATACGGCGCCGAGCATACCCTTTTGGCGCTATATAAATACTGTATAATAATATTAATAATAATATACAAAACAAATTTGAATATAGAAAAACAAATTCTGAAAATTAATCATTGTAACATATCAAATATGAGCGAACAAAATAAATAACCTAACAAAAGAATCCAAAATGCAACAAAACAAATTGTTCTGTTATGCACATCTCTACTAACTTTCCCACTAACAGAACGTGATGTATAAGTAAGAACACAGGATGGGGAATAAGTACCAGGCACCAGCAATTCACAACATCATAACAACATTGCAAACTTTACGAACCATGCAAATAGGACTGGATCTTGAAGTGGCAACTCAGGGCAGCTCAATAAAATCAGCTATGTAATTAATTGTTGCAATAAAGGTGTTACCCTATTCATAACATGCAACCACAATTGTGTAATTTATTTCAAGATTCCTATAATATTAGTAGCTTGGCCTAGGATCAGTGAACCATGGAGGCAGACTTGTGTAGGAATGTTTTCTGCAAAGAAGGTCAATCCATGGTGGCCCCATGTATACTAGATTGCTGTGTATTGCTGATCCATTCCGTTTAAAAAATTAGCTCAGTGAACCAGTAAAAGGGTCAAAACTGAAGCACAGGGTAAGCATGGAATGCAATAGTACAAAATCATAGACCATTAGGAGTATACATTTTTTACAGCTATCGTTAATTCTATTAACTCACTCTTGTATTTTCAGATATGTTTCTAGGCCCACTGCAAAGAGAGTTTAAAATAGCTCTTACAGTAGAAGAGCGTTATTAGATTATGTGGTGGGTGGATTATTTTATTATTTCTACAATAAAGGAAAGAAACCTTTAAACATTAAAGTGAAATATTTGTTTTATATGAATACACGTAAAATGGATTCACACCAGGGAGTACTTTTGCTCTGTGCTGTTATATTGATTTTGTTAACCTGCACAAACTGTGGTTTTGCCAGAGAATATGGAAACCTGTGACAGCATACAAACAAAAGTGTTATTTTGCTTGTTTTTCAGTATCATTATTATTATTAGTGTTATTTGGGTTTTTTTTTTGTAATATTGAAGTATTATTTATTTTTCAGTGGGTGTTACAGCTATAGTAATTTCAACAAACTTTTATGAGACAGCATTTACAGTATATGAGTGCTTAGCTGCCTTTACTTTGCTGTAAAAGAATATATGGCCTGGCAGCCATGGAAATGACGATTTCCCACTGCATAGATACCTGTGTCACAGACATGCTGTCATAGAGCCATGCAGGACATCTATAGATTATAAAGTAGGAGTATTAGTTATGCAATTGATCTTTTTGGCCACAAGATGGGAGATATGGAGATGCTGCCTTTTCCTTCCCGAACATTCAGACACAAAGCACACTGGGAAATTAGGTTTGTGAGCAGCACCAGGACACTGTATTTCCTAGAGTTGGACAGCACTTCTTGAGGTCTCGGAACACAGGCATGGTTACAGGGGACAGAATGAGGAGAGGAGTGTGCTGGAAGTTGTCATCAGAAAAACAGAACCACACTGCCCCAGCACCACCGTGGGGCAGAGAGACTTAGCCACAAGAGAAGCCATCAGAGAGAGATAAAGCCACTGGGGCATCCCCCGATGTGAACAGAGAGAGAAACTGAGCCACTGTCCAGGTACAGATGTGCTGCAATACAGACCGGAGTCACCAGGGGGAACCCAGAGTGAGCAAACATCCAAGGATCATTATGATGTCACTGGGTCTGATGAGAGTGCCTTGCACTCATTACTTGCTACCACTGATATAAACTGAGCCATTG